GTGCAGCCAGGTGGTAGGTGGGGCCCAGAGTGTGTGGGTGCTAGGAAGCTGAAGGAGGCAGCTGAGAGGAGCTGAGGAGGGTGACCCGCCCCTAGCTCTAACTTGGCCCAGCCACCCAGGGAGCCATGTGAACAGAGAGTGCAAAGAAGCATGCTCTGAGCCCAGTGTATGAGTTAGCATGGGAGTTCACACAGGAGGGCAAGCAGTAGGGGCATGAAGCTCTAGAAGGCAAGCCTGGAGAGAAGGGTTATCACAGCAGTAGCTTGGACTACTACCTGTACCATGGTGGTGGCACACTGTACCCTGAAGATCTCCTCTGTGGCTGGTCCCCACCCTCATACCTATGAGGCCTCCACCCAGTCAGAACCCATGGTTCCAGCCTCCACTCAGCCTCCACCCTGGCTATTAGCTGTGGGGGCTGCTTGGCATGACTGCAGGCACATGGGATCAGAAGCAATGACACCTCCCCTTGTGAGGTTTGCTCCACATTGGAGTCTTTGGAGTCCCAGATACAGGAGCTCCAGACTGCGGTGCAGAGGCTGCATGAAGAGGAGGTGAAGAGGAGATCAACTCTTACTGCCAGGTTCTTCGCCTGAAGAAGGAAGAGAGATGTTTAAGGCTGGCTGGCAGGACAAGGGTGGACAAGAGGAGCTCCCCAATGTCTAGCCAGGAATCACTTGGATGAAGATCATCACCAGTCCCAAGGCACACTGCACCAGGGTCAACACTCTCCTGGATCTTCACAACAGGCACGAACCCCTTGCAGCACCAATAGAGACAGCAGAGCCACCAGCTCCTGCACCTGAGGAAGATAACCACCCCTAAGAAGAAACACGGAGTGATCATCGTGGGAAGATAACCACCTCTAAGAAGAAACACAGAGTGCTCATCATGGGAGACTCCCTCTTAAGGGGGACAGAGGGATAGATCTGCCACCCTGACCCCTTAGCCCAGGGGTGTTCAAACTTTTTTAAGGAGTGTACCTCTTCTGGTGTACACTGAGATGCAGAGCCAGCCAGAGGGGGGAGGCAGAGGTTGCACATGGTGGTAGTGATGGTGTGGGGTGGTGGCGATGGTCGCACATCACATGGCCAGGTGGACATGTGACTCTGCAGGCTGCTGAGGGGCCTCACACCTGGCCAATCACACATTGCCTGTCAACAGCTGAATGTGTGACCAGCCATGGGGAAGCAGCATGCTGCTGTGCAGGGTGGTTGATGGTGGCAGCAACTGCTGTGTGCGAGCTCCACCCGCCCATATCTGGCTGGCTGGGCAGCACCTGTATGGCCCACAGAGGGGAGCAGCTGCCCTTACCCTCCCTGGCTCTGCTTCTGGGACACAGTGCTGTGGGGTGGTAGGTGGCAGCACTCCATTCCCACCTACCCACATGTACCTCCTTGCATCTTTCCAAGTACCCCTGGGGGTACGTGTACCCCGGTTGACAACCCCTGCCTTAGCCCTGCTGCCTCCCAGGGGCCCATATCCAGGATGTTGTTGAGAGGATCCCAAAATGTATCCGACTTTCTGACCACTATCCTATGCTCCTTATCCATGTGGGCATGAATGATATGGCAGGGGGCAATCTAGTTATGAATGACTACAGGGCTTTTGGAGTGGGGCTCAGAGGTTGGGGGCACAGGTAGCTGTCTCCTCAATCCTTCTGGTTATGAATTATGGGCATACGAGGGAGAGATGAATTGAGGAAGTAAACAGAAGACTGAGGCACTGGCTCCATTGTGAAGGCTTCAGAGAGTCCGCGCTTCAGAGAGAGAGGCAGTAGTTTGTTGGGAAAGGTCAGCCTCCACCTCACTGCAATGGGGAAGAAGCTCTTCTTGGCCAAAATGGCTGACCTGCTTAACCAGGCTTTAAACTAAGTTCACTGGGTGATGGGTGGATAAAAAGAAGTGTAAGCCCACCAAGCATCAACTATAAAATCAGCAGGTTGGACTGCACAAAGGATCTTCCTAGCCCAGGGATTGGACTCTTTTAGGAATGCAGAGCAGCCCCAGGCTTCAGATGGCAGGATCACTTGCCTGTCCACAAATGCCAGGAGCCTGGGTAACAAACAGGAGGAACTGGCCCTTCTGCTAAGCAGAAATGACTATGACCAAATAGGGATAATGAAGACCTGCTGGGACTCCACCTACGACTGGACCACAGATGTAGATGGCTATACCTTGTACAGGAGGGATCATGTTGCAAGAAAGGGTGGGGGTGTAGCTCTCTATGTGAAGGAGCAGTACACTTCCCTACAACTGGAGATTGGCACCCCAGGATGGTGACTTGAGACCCTCTGGGTTAGAATATGGGGGGAAACATGGTGAAGAGGATATAATGGTAGGAGTCTACTACAGACCTTCTAATCAGGAGCAAGAGCTTGACCATGAATTCACTAGGGAACTGCCAGAGGCTACACACTCTTGGTGCATGGCTGTCTTGGGTGACTATCCTGACATCTCAAGGGAAGAGCACTCAGCCAAATCCGATGGTTGCAAAGCTTGCTGACATGCACTGATGAGCTCTACTTGTCTCAAGAAGTCTATGGGCTGACAAGAGGTAAGGCGCTGCTAGACCTGGTACTGGCCATAGGGGATGATCTTGTAAGTGACCTGAGAATCCAAGGGAACCTGGGAGACAGTGAGCATGAGATGATCGCTTTCTCTATCCATCGCAAAGCAGACTTTAGGAAAGCTGACTTTCATAAGCTTAGGAGGCTAGTTGTTGAGGCTCTGAGAGGCCATAGTCTGACAGGGAGGGGAGTCCATAATGAGTAGTTGCTCCTTAAGGATAAGATTATTGAAGCACAAGGGAAGTCCATTCCAGCCCATAGGAAAGGTAGCAAAAGGGCTGGGCGACCTCTTTGGCTCAACGGGGAACTCAGGGAACTTAAAAAGAGAAGGTTATAAAGGATGGAAGTCAGGAAACACCACTAAGGAGGAGGATTCAGCACTGGCCCACACCTGTAGGGAGTGAACTAGGAAAGCCAAGGCTGAAACTGAACTCAAACTGATCTGGACGCTAGTGCCGGAAGCAGACTTGCTAAGCTGATGACACCAAACTATGGGGAAATGCGGTCACGCTAGAGGATAGGCTGGTAATCTAAGCCAACCTTGATAGGCTCGCAAGGTGGGTGGGTAAAAACTGGATGGCATTCAACACAGAGAAATGCAAGGTGCTCCACCTTGGGAGAAAAAACCTGCATCACACTTATAGGCTTGGCAATGTTACACTCACTAGCACAATGACCAAAAGAGACTTGGGGGTCATGATTGACCACGGATGAACATGAGCCACCAATGTGATGCCGCAGCTGGCAAAGCAAATAAAACTCTGGCTTGCATCTACCAACGCATCTCAAGCAAGACCCAAAAATCGTCCTCCAGCTTTACTCAGCCTTGGCGAGGCCGCAGCTGGACTAGTGTGTCCAATTCTGGAATCCGTAGTTTTGAAAAGATGTGGAGAACCTTGAGAGAGTCCAGAGGAGAGCCACATGCATGATCAGAGGACAAGAGAGCAGGCTTTATGGGGAGAGACTGAGAGCCATGGGACTTTTCAGCCTGAAAAAGCATAGGCTCAGGGGTGACTTGGTGGCAGCTTACAAGTACATAAGAGGTGTGCATCAGGATCTGGGAGAACATCCATTCAAGGGAAGACAAGGTCCAATGGTCTCAAACAATCATTTGACCCCAGCTGACTTCCTGCCCCCTGGGCAGGGGGCTGGGCCTGATAGTCTTGTGAGATCTCTTCCAGCCCTAACGTCTATGAAATCTATGAAGTGTCAAATTTTGCTATAGTACTTCATATCTTAAGTGATTGCATTGAGCAAAATAACAAAGCAATTGCAAAATATTATGGAGTGCAATTGAAATATGGTTAGGTTACCTTTCAAAAATTCAAACTGCCTTAAGCATATATGAAACATGGACCTCTCCTACTTCTCTTCCCTAAATATTATTATTATTATTATATTTAAAGATAGTGTAATTATGTCAGTCATTTAAAATGTAAAGTCCCCTTGCAGCCTGCAAAACAGTTAAACTCTGCTTATCCAGTTATCAATCATAGCAATGCTGACAAGTGTAACCTTTAATTTCATTTTCACTGCAAATAGCCAAGATTGGTTCAAGTGGTCCAGGAACCCATGGCATGAAAAAGTGAAGCCATAGCACTGAATGGTATTATGGCATGTAAAGGACTGTTGGAACTAATGACCAAATTATGCTTGCACTAGCTGTCCTTTGTAAAAAGAGGTACCGTTCCAAGAGCAAACTAGGAAGGGAATAGTGCATTGGTGCTATAATATGTTGTACGAGTAGAGAAAAAAAATGCATTTTTTTCACATAAAATCTAAGATAATGAGATCTTTTACTGAATAACTGAAGAAAAACTTTCTGGGTTTTTTCTAAGCCCTAGTATTTCATACGCTTTTGCATTTTCTAGTACAGACTGGGACACAGCATTTATAACGTGGCTGACTCTGCAACATACTGGGACATTTGTGACATGTATTACCACAAGATTGCAATCCAAATTTCTTTTCCCCAAAGGGCTTATATATTCATGAGAGATGAGAGGATTCTATTTTAACCTCTCTGTATCCTTGAAACTTTAAGTTAAGTCCTGCAACAAAAATGCAGAGAAAACTAATTTTGGGACTTAATTCAAATTAAGTGAATTATTTAAATGTTTAAACATTTTAAATGTTTTATTTTAACTTTAAAAAGTCATACTCTTATAACTTGGAGTTGGTTCTGTGCTCACTCCAATGCTATATACAGCCTACATGCCCAAGCTACCCTTTCTGAGGGAACCTGCTTGCGTATAGCCAAGGCTTTTGCACTTGAGAGAATTCATTGAGAGATCTTTATTGAGGTAGATTAGGTTGCAGAACCCCTCAGCATTAAGTTCAGGTTTAAAAAGACAACAATTTCATTTGGAGCACTAAGACTCTTTAGACCAGTCAGTTTTAAAGCATTCCTTTTTTTTTGCCCTGTTCCTAGGCTTCTCTTGAGAGGGAGCCTCTCAAAGAAAAGGACCAGCAAAGTGGAAGCAGCCAAGCAAACAACTTCTAAATCGACGGGCCTGTGCAGAACCCCTTTGGTCTAAATGAAATCTGTATTTTGTGATACACTGCTGCATCCAATCCTTTCCAAAAAATCTTCCAAAATCAATTCTCAGTTAATGTACAAATCTCTCGGGAGAACTTCCAAACAGGAGGATCAGCTGGAGGTAACAGTCGAACATGAATAGGCATCTGTAAACAAACTGGTGTAGTAAACAGTACTTTTAACTAACCTCCTCCTAGGCATGAAATTTTGGAGGGCCCTTTTTAGTTTAAATTAGAGGGAGAGAACTGGCTTGCCAAATGGGATTGTATAGACTCTCATGGCTGTAACCATTACTAAACCAGAAATAATATTGAATGTGGTGCAAGTCCATCCTAGTGCCCAATGGATATTTGTTCACATTGCACAGTTTGGCTCAGTTCAACATGCTTGGCAGCCTTTATCCAAAAGAAAGGCCAAGAACTGGAATAGCAGAAGGGCTACAGGTCAAGATTGTGATTCATTGGCAGACCTGTGTGAGGAAGCTTGCACAGCGCTTGTCTGCATTATGCTTGGCTCCAGCTAGAGCTGTCAGTCCTTTATTTTCATGGGCACTAAAGGCATCCCAAAAGTAAAATATGTATTTGTGTGACTGTCTGTGCTGCATGCAATGAAATAAGCATGTGACACTTACCATGAATTTAAATGCCAGAGTCAGATAACCTTACTCACAATGAATCTGACTTTAATTAAGTCAATAGACCACTTCTGAATAAAGATGTTAATTATGCTGGATATTCAGTAGATATTCACATTTTTGTTAATGTATATCATGATGTTCGGCATTGTGTTTCTGAAAATCCTTTGTGTCCGGAGAAATCTGAATAGAGCGCAACGTACAAATTAATGCATAAATATAATATATCTTTATGTTGTGACAATATTAGCCATACAGAAATGCATCTCTGCATCTTACAGTACTGAAGGACTGGAATGCATACTTTCACTGAAAGCTGGAAAGATGTATCTGGAATTACCCACTGTCTCTGAAGATTTTCTGAAAAAACTAATCTCCGTACACAGTCAATGCTGGATTGCTAATGTAACTGGGTGCACAAATGTGTGCTGCCAGATGCACATACCATTAGGTATCACTTTGTGACTACTGTGGTCTTGGAAAAAACTGAATCTCTTACAAATGCACACAGTTGTGCTTTTTGCATGCATATTAATGCATCAAAATGACTGGTCCTTGTTATTTTACATACTGAAACTAAAATATCTGACCAAACAGAGCTGGATTCTTCTTAGCATTTATCAGTAAAAAGAAGAGATTTATGTTGTGATTGACTGACAACCTTTTTATTTTGTATAATATGTCCTATTGAGTTCTATTGAAAAGTTCAGTATGGCATTTATTCACATTTAATTAGCACCTCTCGGGATTAATACCTCATTTTATCAAGCTAATGCAACCTTAATATAAAAAGATGTAAATTCAATATGATAACAACATGTACCTGGCTGTTTTAATTAATCTGTCTAAACTGAACATGCTGCTTCAAATTTATAAAGATCAAGCTTTAAACTACCTCTGGAATTCTCATTATATTAATTGGATGCTGTGCTCTTTTTGCTGTTCATTGTATGTAATAGGCACTATGACCCCCGTTGACCCTAATGGGCATGCACTGTAAGGGAATAATCTATGTTTTAGCACATTTTTGTAGTAAATAATACATCAGAATTGCATATGACCCATAAAGCCATTGAGTTAGATGGAGTTAAACCAAGGATGGATAAAAGCCTACTTCTTATTTTGTCTGTGGTTTTTTGTCTCCTTTTAGATTTGTGTAATTTACAGTGGAACTTTTTTATAGGTCAAAAAAACTGCCAGAGATGACTGTCGATAGAACTATTTTCACCTTGAGCTTTGGATATGCAGGACTGTTAAAAACACTTGAAGTATTTTCTTCATATAACATTCAAAACTCTTCATTTTATACTTTTATACCTTTTATGAACCAACCTTTGTGTAAAGAAGTTCTTCCCACAGTTCGTTTCTTTATTGCCTGCTTCTTTATTTACTTATATCCATGCCCTTTTATTCAGGTAATTTCAATAGACTATATAGCTTTGAATCCTCTATACATTCTAGTCTTCAGAATCTTTTATTTGTATCTATGGCCTCTTATTCAGATAATTTCAATAGATGAAATAGTCTTGTAGCCCTATGATCTTTATTTTCTATAGTTACACTATCTGTATGTGTCAAAACACTTTCTTCACTGCAGAATACAGGATGAATTTCTCCTATCTTTTTCAATAATTGATATCCTTGAGGCCCAGTGCCAGTCTGGTTGTCCTTATATTTGTGCCATGCTTTTTTAAATAAGACAAGTAACATGATTTGCATAGAACGTAATCTCCAGTGTCAACAGGATCTTTGCAGTGACAAACACAATATGGCTCCAGGTCTGCTATAGACAGATGCTATACAAAGTGCCCATAGTTCATAACATAACATAACTATGTGGACAAGTCAGTGCAGGACCACAAAGTAGATTCCTTTATAATGTGCAATCTAATCTCTTGCGATTGTCTATTTATTTAGATTAATATGATTTTATTCCTATTTAGAATTTTAGTGTATAGTGGTGTGAAGTTTTATTCACAGTGAGGCCTGCAAACTAAAATATCTGCCTTTCTATTTTTGTGTATCAAATGTCTATCATCTGATCTCAATTTAATGGACTCAGTCTGGATTAGATGGACCTTTGTCACCTTTGTGTCATAAGCAAATTTAATCGCTTCACTATATATTCATTCTTCCAGGTCACTGGTAAATAAGATTAATAGGAGCTTCCCAAGCACTGAACTTTATGGCACTTTATTGGTAACCTTTCTCTGTTCTGCTACAGATGTTTGTGGAGGTTATATTACATTAAAACGGGCCACACTATCTAGCTTAGTTTGTTCATGTAGATTCCTAATTAGGTCAACCTAAGTGTGAATTATACAGAAGTTCCAGAAGGTTAGATTGGTCTAAAAATGGCCAACCCAATCTAATTTAACCCTACCTCAGAGTCAGATCTGGTAAGACTGATCTAACTGATTAGAGTCCAAAGGCGGGCCACATGCATGATTAGAGGTCTGGAAAACAGGTCATATGAGGAGAGGCTGAAGGACATGGGACTGTTCAGCCTGGAGAAAAGAAAACTTAGAGGGGACTTGATGGCAGCTTATAAGTATATAAGGGGATTACTTCAGGACCTGGGGGAGCATCTGGTCACCAAGGAACTCCAGGGGAAGACAAGAAACAATGCACGCAAACTGCTTGAAGATTGCTTCAGATTGGACATAAGGATAAACTTTTTCATGATTTGAGTGCCTAGGTTCTGGAACAGATTTCCCCCGGAGGTGGTACAATCACCTACCCTGAAGATCTTAAACAAATTACTTGACATGCACCTTCCTGGGGTCATCGGACCCTGGCAGTCTTTCCTACCCAAGTGCAAGGGTGGTGAACCTGATGATCTCATGAGGTCCCTTCTAGCCCCTAACAAGCCTGTCATGTCTCCACATGCCGAAGACCCCCAGTAGCCCTCAGCAGCCATGGCAGACCCCCGTCTGACCCGCAGCAGAGCCAGAGGTAAGCGGGGCCCATGGTGGGAGGGGAGTAGCATAGCTGCGGGGAAGCCGTTGAGAGGAGCTGAGGATGGTCTTGCCCTGCCCCGGCTCCTACTTCGCCCAGCAACCCCAGAGAGCCATGTGACTGGAGCCGCATAAACAGGATGCACAAACAGGCATGCTTCTAGGTCCGGTGCACAAGTTAGCATGGGAGTTTGCCAGGAGGGAGAGCAGCAGGACATGAGGCTCCAGGCACTGAGCCATAGCCAAGGGTCTGCACAGTAGTAGCCAGACTACTACAAGGACCATGGTGGGTGGGACATGTCGCACCCTGTGGCTCCTCCCTGCAGCTGGACTCCCCTGCTCTGACACGAGCAGGATCTCCACCCAAATGGAACCCATGGTTCTGGCCTCTACCCAATGGGACCTGCAGTCCCTACCCCCACCTGGGCAGGATCAATGGCCCTGGTCTCCACTCAGGTGGAGCCCCTGGCATCATGTGGAGGCTCCCTAGCAAGAATACAGGCAACTGGCTTTGAGGGCACTGATACCTCCCCTTGTGAGATGTGCCCAATGGTAGAGGCTCTGGAGTGCCAGATTAGAGGGTCTCAAGTTCTGGGATGATGGACGAGGTCTCTTCTGGGGTCTTAGGCTTGTGACCCCCTCTTGCCTTAGCGTTGCTTTGCTGCATCCCTGTGCGGAACCGCGGTTTCAACCCACATGGAGGCTCAGTTTTCCCCAGATTCACCGCCACTCCTGTAGGCTCCTGGTAAGTAGCAAGCATGGTTTGCCATCCCCCAGGCTTTGGAGTCCCTCGGTCAGTGCTGGCCTCGTATCGCAGATCCCTCCTTCGGATCCTTCCTCGCGGGAGCCCCCAGCAGCTCCTCACTTCCCTCGTGGTGCCCAAAGGCAACTTTCCCTAGGCATCATCCTTTTCATATCCCTGGGTGCCAAGCCCCATTGGCTCTCCATGAGCGTGGGGGTGTCTCCTTACCCCGCTGGGCCATAATCACTACCAGCTGCAAGATTTCTCCAGTAACAGGGCTTCAGTTGGGAACCCTGTTACACCTTGAATCAAAATATACTTCAAGAACAGTGTGAGTTAAAATAAGCTCTAAGAAAGAGCAGCTCTTTCTCCAAAACCTTACAAGCAACATCAGAATAAAATAAAGGAAACTTTCATGTGTATCAGGCAGCAGAATCTGGGCCACAGATAATTTTTGTATGTGAGGTATTATATCTTACCTTGCTTTTCTATGGTGGTTATCAGAATAAAGCTTTTCTTTTCTTTTCTTTTTGATAAGCTGAATTAATGACATATTTTAGAGTCTTGAGATACAGTATCTAATTAGTATGTTAAAGATATTTCAGATACAATTCAGAAAGACAAAACCATAGTTTACTGGTTATTTTAAAGCATTAAAATAACAAAAATATGTTTGGGCACATTTTCACTTGTTGTCTAGGGAACTACTTATAGGTGCACAGATTCTGCTCTCATTAGCAAAAAAAGTCAGTCTCATTTTTCTGTTTTTCATGGTGAAAATTCAACCCTT